TTCTGTTCTTCATGACTCTGTTTTTCTGCTTAGCAATCAGTGGTTTTATAGTTGGATATGTCTACTTTACTGAGGTAATCATATATTCCTCATCCAAAATAGCTTAATGAGTAAAAACCTTTAATAGTATATTGAATAAAAGATAGTTAATAAGAATGAAAGAATGGCTAAAGAAGCAGTTGCTTATCTAGGTGTTATTTAATCGTTTTTAATCTGCATTCAAACAAACAGCACTCATATATTAAAGCAAAGAAATGGAAAATCTGGATCCTGTTATGAAATATCCCTTTTATATTTTCAGGCCTCTGGATGCTCTCTGAACAAGTTCTTTATAAGTTTTAATCTGATTTTGTGCATTGTGATCTCTGTCATTTCAATTTTTCCAAAAGTACAAGAAGGTAAAATTAAGAATTGCAACTTACTCTAGTTAATCGTTCAGCTCTTCACACCTAAGTTTTTGACCATTCACTGGCCCTGTCTATTCAACGCTCTTTATTAGGCTTACTGTTCCTATTGACTTACCTATTGATCCTTTTCAATTATTCCCATGAGATGCAAAAAAAAAAGAAAAAAAAACTGGCTGCCATGTTGAAGGAATAAACAATAGATACAGAAGGGAAATCCTTTGTTAAAGTTTCTCCAAGATGCATGCCGCTGTGACATAACTTAAAAACGAAGAATTTTCCAGTACAAAACACTTAAATCGATCAAATATAAAGAAATCATTTAGTAATTGTATTTTCCAATGGTTTGTAGTTCAGCCCAAGTCAGGTTTGCTACAAGCATCAATCATCTCTCTGTACACAAGTTACTTGACGTTATCAGCTCTTGCCAGTGAGCCTACTACAGCAGGTGTGTAGTTGTATCTTATAAACCTCGCAGGTTTTTTGACTTGGATAGCCCATTTCTGGACTACTGTTGTACTTGTTGCTGTCTTCTCATGGCATAACTTTGACTATGTCGGCGAACATTGTTGCCAGTCATTTTGCTCAAAGGTTTTCCTTGAAAACCCAAATTCTTCTGCTCCCTCTTTCCCTTTCTCCCTCTTTCCCTTGCTCCCTCTTTCTCTTTCAGTTGAATGTGTTGTGCTAATGTTCATGCAACGACGAAGCTATAATGCCTATTAGGCACGATAACGGAAAACTCCCTGCATATTAACCTAAACATCGGTTTATTTATTTCATTTTAGTCGTTGTTGGTAATAAAACTATCAATACTGTATGTGGAGATGCCGAGGGACTCAATATCTCTGGAACTGGTGTTGAAGGATCAGAAGTGACTGCCATTATTGTGGGTCTGACACTTCTCTTCATCACGGTGCTTTATTCCAGGTAAGCTACAATATAATGGCTGAGGTTTTGTTATATGATAGACA